ACCAATATTCTACAGTTACCATAAATGAAATGACATAGATTGCTGAATAATTTTAAAATTATTATTAGGGGAAAATACTTGTAAGACAGGGATTTAGCAAGTAAAATATAATTGGACTTTGTTTTGTGAAGAATGAAGTTGATAAACAAATTCAGAAACCATTTTTGATTCAGCTTAAGTGATGCATAAGTCTGCTGACATGATTCGGTTTTCAGTCGCTTTTGATTGATTTGTTTTTTACACCTTGTCAACCTTTTACATTCAAAGCCAGTAAATAGTAGATGCCAGTAGACAGACATACTCGTACCCGAGTATGCCAATCTACTATGGCAGCTAGCCAATCCCCACTGCAGACTGGATCAGTCACATTTGTGTTCGTTCAACACCCACAGATCCCACCTGAGAACAGACACTGATTTACTATCAGTCTTTTATATATATTAGTAACAATATATTGAAGGAAAAGGGAGATTATCACGCCATGTGGGATGAAGTTGAAATAATAGACATCACAGGAATATATTAAAACACAAGGAATCAGCGCAGGTCACAAAAATCTCCTAAGCCGACCAAACATAAACATGCATACAATATTGGAACCAGTAATAAAGAGAGTTAGAGAAAAATGGCAATAAGAAAAAATCGTAATATGAGCTCTGGTAAAAAAAAAAAAAAAATGAATTATGAGGTAATCGGATATTGAACTCACACTCTTTGGGTCCTATCACTGGATCTAACCAATGCCCCTATCCACTGTGCCATGTGTCCTCGAGGACACATAGCACAGTGGATAAAAGTCTGAGTTCAATACCTGGTTAAGGCAGTGGAGAACTCAGAGAGGGGAATTAACAGGAGATAACTGATAACTGACATCCGTTAAAACATGGCACATGGAACTAGAACAGTCTACCCCAGTGAGCGAAATAAAGTTTGACATTCCAATCACCTGAAGAAGGCCAGCGTGTACAACGGCTGAAATGTTGTTATAAATATGGTGACAAAGATGAGGACAATAGTCTGAATAATGTAAATAGTGTACATAATATCTCATCTCAGAAATATAGACAGATACTGAAGAAAAATTTTATAAGTATTTTTTTTTAATCAGTTTTACTAATGTTTTTTTTTTTTACATTTTTTCATTTATAGGGACATTTGTATTTTCTCTTGTCTTCCATTTTTTTTCTCAATTTGTTTTGTTCTCTCTTTCTTTCTCTCTCTCTCTCTCTTCTTTCTTTCTCTTCAAAATTTTCACATGTAAATGACTGGTCGCTATCATTTGTAGAGATACAAGGAGAAAATAAATTTCAAGATGATGATATTTTCATGTATTTTTATATAACTAATAAATGATTACCAAAGAAAGAGAAAATATATTAGTGTGTACACAGTTACAGAGGAGAGGAAAAACATTAAAAACTTATCTTTTATGATTGTGTGTGTGTGTATATATATATATATATATATATATATATATATAAAATTCAGTCACCTGGGAGAAAAGTAGTCCACCCCAGTAGGGACAAGTCTTGTTTTGGTCCCATTACCTTCAAAATATGCGGTCTTGTAGGTTATGACATTTCCCACTCTACAGCCTCTTTCCCCACAGATGCAAAGTGGCATGTCTATTGCTGCCCTATCACTTTTTCTCTGGCAAATATTCAGATGAATGCCATGCTTTAGCTCCACCAGTTCTTTGTATAGGGTTTCTAGCTTGACCAAAAGCCGTTCACTGCAGTAGCAGTAGTAACCAATATTTTCACATGTTAATGGCAGGCTATCATTTTTTGTAGAGACAAAGACGAAAGAAATGAATGAGGACTGAGCGGAAAGAATAAATTTTAACATGGAAATATTTTCATGTATTTTTATATATACCATTTATACTTGTGTATCGTGCAACTCACAAATGTTCACTTATAAAAAATGATTTTATCATGTATCTCTTGCATCATGTGAGTTCCTTTTCGGAGAGACCAAATTACAATAGACTAACCTCTTTTCTTCTATCTCTTTATCCCATCTTCTAGTTAAATAATTTTAAAAAGTAAAAGAGAATGATAAAAGTACCGTTAGTAACGCAATACTCATTGCATAAATGTGTACAGCCATAAACAACCGAATGAGAAACAGCTAAACATCTTATAAACGTAAACAATAGAAAAGATGCATATTTGCTATGTTTGTATTTTATAATACGATATTAATAAGTGAATATTACATGCATTATTATTGGATACAGTTAAGTAAAACATCAGTTTATCAAAATCATGTTTATTTTATATATAGCTGTACTTTTTTTGACTACAGTAAATGGATATATAGTTTGGTCAATGGCGTAGCCAAGGCCAGTAGTACATAAGCTAATTTTATATCTCATGTATGATGCAACCCCCTTAAAATTAGCTTCAAATTTCACGATACAAGAGTATATTATATATATATATATATATATATATATATATATAAAACAACCTACCTATAAGAATGTTTTTGGAAGTTACTTAAATTCTGTCTAGATTATAAAAATTGTTAGCATATACAGTGGCCAAGAAATGGGGGATGTGTTTAGTACTAAATAACAATACAAAACTGATCCCTCAATTCTATCAATGTTTCATTTGAGTACCTATAAGGATATTTTGGAATTTCATCTATGAATCTACTATTGCCAAGAAATGGAGGATGTGTTTAGTACTAAAAACAATACAAAACTGATCCCACACATTTTATCATCCCTTCTTTTAGTTACCGTTTATACACGCGTATCATGTGAACTTTAAAGAAGTAAATGAATAAATAGTTTGGTCAACAACGTAGCCAGGACCAAGCAGTACATACGCTAAATATATATCTCATGTATGATGTGATCCCCTTAAAATTAGCTTCAAAATTAGGTCTTCAAAAGTTGCATGATATGCAAGTATATACAGTAATTAATAAATGACTAACAAAACAGAAATTATATTAACAAACACACAGCTGAAAAGGAAAAACATTAAAAAACTTAGCTATTAGCAAATGTATGTTTGTGTTTAAAAGTTCAGTCACCTGGGGGGAAAGAAATTAGCAAACGTGGAGAAACGTACCTGCAATAAGAATGTCAAAAAGGATGTTTTTTTTTTCCCAAATGACACCACTTTTTTAACTACCTTCACTCTTCGGCAATGTTTATTCTTTCCGTAAAGCGATGATTAGAATTGGAATAAAACCTAAACATATGAAAGTGAATTTATATATTTTCTTTGTTCTTGGGAATTGACAATGAAAATAATAAACTCTTTTTATTAGATTATTTATTTACGCTATTTATTTATTATATTGGAATGTTTGAACATTGGCTAATTGCCAATTAATTCAAACTTTATAAAATGGTAAATAATAAGGATTTCCTTGTAATTTTGTTCATATATTTTAATAATTTAATAAATGTTTATAAATTTATGAATTAAAAAATTGTTTTGTTTTTATAAATTAGTAAATGATAAATATTGCATTGCATTTTTTCTAATTGAATATTTTTTAGAATGTTCTAAAATTATTCTTGTAAATAAACAATCTAATAGTGTTTAATATTTTTTTGTAAATTCTCAAGAATAAAAAAAAAAGTATAAATTCTCTTTGATCAGATATATACTTAGGTGTTATTCCAATTCTAATCATTGTTTTTCTTAAAACGATAAATATTGCTGAACAGTGAAGGTCGTTAAAAAAAGCAGTGTCATGGGGGGAAAAAGCAACTTTTTGACACTCCATATTATTGCAGGCACCTAAGTCCATGTTTGCCACCAGGCTCTGCTATCTACTGTATGCAAGGTAGAAAAGACAAAAGAGAGGCGAAGATTATGTCCCTTCTTTTATAGTCCTTAAACAGTGCCACTTAATGGGTCTCTTGGCAGACCAAGTGGGGGTAATCCCCACACATTCAACAATAGAGTTAATTGTATTGATAAAAACCCTACATTCACACAGAAAACATAACTAATACAGTTGAATAATTACATAATTATAGCCATCTTCTTTGCTGTTATTGATTGTGTTTAAATGTATAAATTCACTTTCATCATATGTTTAGGTTTTATTACACTTCTAATCATAACTTTTTAAAACAACAAACATTGCCAAGGAGTGAAGGTAGTTAAAATAATAATAGCAGTGTCAAGGGAAAAACTGTCCTTTTGACACTCCTCTTGCCAAGTCTGGAATTTTCCTTTAATACACCGTGTGTCACTTTATCATTTCTTTGAATTTGTTCCAAATTATTATTGTTTCTGTTTCATTTTCCTGGAAGAGTTACCATTATTTATTTACACTACGTGACATCTGTCCTTCTTTATGGCAGCGAATGTTAGACAATTTCCTCAAAGATGCAGCAGAGACTTGAGATGAGATGTGGTTCTACAGAAGGATGCTAAGGATATCATGGACTAAGCGTGTGAGCAATGATGAGTTTGCAAACAAGGAGGAGGCTTATACTTAACATCAAGAAGAGGCAGCTGAAGTTTCTGACACACATAATGAGGAAGGAGGGCCTGGAGAATCTGATACTCACGGGTCGAATAGAGGGAAAGAGAGACAAGGGAAAACAACATGTGACATACCTGGCGGACTTAAGCAAGTGGATGACAGAACGTGGTCTAGGGGAGGAAGTAGAGGGAAGGAATTTGTTGAGAGCTGCAAGGGATAGAAGGTGGTGGAGAGCCATGATCACTTACATCCTGAAAGGACATGGCACGTAAAAAGAAGTTACAAATGTACTATTATCCTCATCTTTGTTGTTTGTTTTTCCTTATTTATGTATTTCTTTGAAATGTATTTTGCTTTGTCCATTTCTCTTTCTGGGAGTTATCTTTATCATTTGTTTCTTGTTTTCATGGTGCATTTCCTAAATAAACGGATAACATCAGTATGAAGCATGGACCTTTTTCATGGAGACCACATGCTGCCTCCTTTGAAATAGCAACAGTTTGAGATTTGTTTATTTTGAAATATTTACCCAGGTTTACTTCACAGCAGAGAAATACACAGAGAAATTTGAAAAGGCCCAACTTGTCTACCTTTCAAGTGAATCGGAAAACATCCTAACAGAACTGGAGAATGACAAAGTTTATATCATTGGTGGTTTGGTCGACCACAACAGTTACAAGGTAAGCTTGACTTTTTTTCTTTTATATTTATTGACATTAATTCATTCTACTGTAGTTAATACATAAATTATTTCAATGAATATTGGAATCCTTCTGGATTTTATTACCACATTTCTGCCAACGTGATTCATTGCCTTTCATATTGGGTGGAATTCTATCATTATTTGAGAATTATTTCCATCTGCAATTTCTGGGATGAGGAGTCATCATTATTTAGACTATATTCAGACTACAATCTTTTGCTGTTAGTATCATGTTTCCCCCCTAAAAGTAAGGCTGGTGGAACATTGAATCTGTAGTGAGAAGTGAAACAATGAAATCTGGCATGACTGATCATGTATGGAGGGAGTAGAATGAAGTGACAAGACAAGGATGAACACTGATGAGTTAGACACCTGAAAGAATCAGCACATATGCTAGACTATGAGAATCTCCATAGTAGGCCTAGAATAGAAATAAATACAATATGAGAGCCACTAATTTAAAAAAAAAAAAAAAGAAGACAAATATCAACAAGTCTTCAACCGCAGCAGCTGCAGTCAAAACATGACAGACAGCAGCAGTTGCAACTCTAATCAGCAGACAAGTCAGGTCTAAGGCTCCAGGTTTATTACAGCAAATCTAGATTAAAGCGTTGATTTGTGAATTTTGTGACATAGTAATTGTGAGTTCAGTCCCTGGGCCAGGCAGTTTTTACATGGACTCAGAGGAAACTGGTGAACACTACTAAAAATAAGAATTAGATGATATCCCTAGAGTTACCCAGATGAGGAAGGCTGAAAGACAATGGACAAAATGATGAAGACAATAGTCCAAATATAAATAGGGTAAATAATTCCAGAATTAGTTCAGACTAATGCACTCATCTTTTTTGTCTCTTTTGTTGACAACCATGCATTTTGTCTTCTTACAGTTAGTGGTTAGTCCTTTCTTCTTGCTATCCTCAGCTCTTTTGTCTGAAAGTTCTCTGAGTTTTTCTTCTGAGCTTGCTATCAACACAGTGTCATCTGTGTATGAATGTCATAAAACTCTGTTTATGGAAATTAATGTTATCAAGTAAATAATTAGCTATTCCTAACGATATAATTTATCAGAGTGAACAGGTAAAAGGGTTAAAGAATACATTGGACTTGACTATAATAACAAATGTAGTGAAAGAGATAATCAGTTACCCCCCGAAAAGTTTGTGTTCTGTGTGCAATCTGCCAAAGAAAAATTACCAAAAAGTAGTTAGCAAAAATCTACTTCAACAACTAGAATTTATGCTAATGTTCTCCCCACCTCTGAATGGCATAACCAATCAGAAAGATCTCTTGATGAACCAAAGCCGTTGTTTTTCACTTATAAAGGCAGAAGATTTTCTGAGCTGGTGAACTGAACACGCATTTTTACTACAACAACAAATCATCAGTTTTTAAAAAAAAAAAAAAGGCAAAGTCTAACAAATGTACCTGAAAAAAGATTAGTGTTTCAAAAGAACTTTTTTTTCTCTGCTTTTTCTCTCTTACGATGTCTTACTCTTTTAATTAGCTACAAGGTGTACTAAGTATTTGAGAGCCATAACTAAGACAATCTAATCTTATCCAAAATGTCTCATTTTTTAACAATCTCATTTCTCAACTGGAATTTAAACTCGTCTCTCTAATTCATCATTCAATGCTTTTTCCATCACACCTCCCACACGTCCAAACTTACAGGCAATTATCCATCTAGGTACTGACCAGGCTCAACATTGCTTAACTTTGGTAATTAGATGAGAACTGATGTTCCAACATGATATGGCTGGTGATTAGTCATATCAGAGACAGGAACCGTTGCTTAACTTTGGTAATTGGATAAGAACGAGGAAAGTGGGGTTGGAGAATTTAACAAAGTAGCTTCTAACTACATTCAAAGTAAAATAACCAAATGATTGTTAAAATTCTCCTCTTTTTATTTCTGGTGTCATTTTTTTGTTTTTATTTTAGGGTCTTTGTCATCGACTAGCGGTAGAAAATGACATTGCACATGCACAACTTCCAATTTCAGAATATGTTCAGATGAAATCGAGAAAAGTACTTACGGTTAATCATGGTAAGTATATTTTCTTTATTTAAAAAAAGTAAAAAAAAGATTGTTTTTTTTTCCTGTTCTTTTTATCCCACCTCTCCCTCTTTTTTATCCTGCTTCCTTTCTTTCCTCTTCTTTTTCACTCACTCCCTTTCTTTACCCTTATTTCCCACTCTCTTCCCTTCTTTTTCTCTCTTCCCTTATTTCCCACTCTCTTCTTTCTCCCCTCCTTCTTCTTTCTTCTTTTTCCTTCTCTTACCTCTTCTTTTTCCCTCTCTTACCTCCTTTCCTCTTCTTTCCCCTCTTCTTTTCCTCCTTCCCTCTTCTTTTCCCCCTCTCTTACCTCCTTCCCTCTTCTTTTTCCCCCCTCTCTTACCTCCTTCCCTCTTCTTTTTCCCCTCTCTTCCCTCATTTCTGCTATTTTTCCTTCCCCTTTTCCACTCTTCACTCTCTTCTTTTCCTTCTTCTCACTTGTGGAAATCCCTTCCAACTTCTTACTTTCCAGTCAAGTTTGGTCTTCAAAAATTTAAATGCAATGTCAATTGTTATCTTCTCTCTTAATTTATATTCTTTTATTGATCTCACTCATTAATGTTTTTATTTTGCTTGTATTCTTTCACATACAGTAACCCCTTGTGTCTTAGTGGTTTTGTTGTCTTCTTAGGGTGAAATGATTTAAAACAAAAGGACTATTAGGATGTATAGATTTCTATCGTATAAATTATAGAGGTTGGATCATAGCCTTTGAAAACTGGGGTCAATCTAAACATGGAATTTATCAGAAAAAAATTCAACATCTGCAGAGTTAATAGATTGATTTTTAATCCAACATGTGTATTCCTTGAAACATTACCACATTGTTTAATAAATAAAAATAGCTCACCTATTTCAAATACAAAGTGTCAACGTTTGAAATATTGGTTGGTGCATAATTATCAGGCGTTTGTAAACAATATGATAAAAAAAAAACATAATTCAACAATAACATTTTTAAATGATTATTCTGGAGTGTATGATTATCAACATGGATTTTTATAACCTGAAAATAAAATAATATTTTTATTTAAAAAAAAAGTAAACAAAACAGCATTTTTTATTAACAAATAACTCACCTACAAAAACGCTTGATAATTATGCACCAACCCAATAATAAAAATGTTAGAATAAAAATAAATCTATTCATTCTTTAGAAATTGTTTTGCTTACATTTTGGATATAAAGCGTTGCAGATACAACCTTTTGAGAAAATAGCCTGAGTGAAGTGGGGGTAGGGTGCTTTCCTTAAAAAATGGGGAAACTAGAATCTTGCTTGCTGTGATGTTCTTTGTGGCCGAGCAGTAAAGTGTGCTGGATAAAGTGTTTAAACCTCAGGTACAATCCCAGCCAGGTAACACATTTTTGTTATGAGGATTTCTTGAATGCAGAGGCTGTTAGACGTAATACACACTGTTTAATAAATAAAAAATGGGGGAGAGGGTCTATTTCAAAATGAGGGGGGCTCTATTTTAAATACGACATGTCCACTAAATAACGTTTAAAATAATATATGTGTTCAAGTCATCTGAAGATCACTTGAGCATGAAACTCTGTTTAGGCAATCTAGGTGTTGGGCACTTTACTGAGTAAGTAGGTTTGCCTTTAGACCTTTTTATTTTTTCAGTATTGTTGTTTTTGTTCAAGACTTTATCTGGATAAGAGTTTTAGGTCTTGGCAAGTTGTCTGTTGGTTCCATCAATGGCTTTGGTTTTTCTTTACACCCCAACCTTACCCTGACTTGACGTCTGTGAATGTAACCGAGATATTGATACAAATTATTAACCCTTACGCCTCTTTTCTTTAAACATTTGCTCTAGCCGTTACCATAGTAATTTTAATTTCAATAATGAATATGCTTATAAAACATGTAAATTTCAGGAATAAGTTATTCAAAAAAAATTTCGCTTGAAGATGGAGCAGAGCTTAGTACTTTAATTCAATTTAATTCAAATAATTATATTGAAGTTTTCGGCTCTTGTTTTGAAACATGAGAACTCTTATGTGTGTTGGAATCATATTTTTAAATAAATAATTATATTTATGCTCTACTTTTGTATTGAGCACTATTTTTTAAAAATAATAACAAAAATACTAGAGAACTTTGGATTATTTACCTAACGAGTTCTTTTTTTATTTTCTATATATTTTTACACACATATATATAAATTTTTTTTTCATTTCACCCCAAGCAACACAACAAAGCCACTAACCCACAGGGGGTTACTCAGTGTGAAAGAATACAAGAAAAAGAAAAAACACTGTTAAGGAGAGAGAACAATAAAAGAACAGAAATAAAAAATACAAGATAGCTATTGACATTGCATTCAATTTTTGAAGATCAAACTTGAAAGTAAAAAGTGCAAGCGAAGAAACTGTCAACATAGAACTTATGGTTACATTTAATCATGTCAATTGTAAAATGATGAGACCTTGCCACCAATCTAGTCAGTTAAATGCCATATGTTATACACACTTGAGCGATCAAGTATCTTTCGATAAATGACTGACGAGGCAGATTTTTTCCCGCAGTAGGTTGCCATTTCTTTCTGCAGTAGACTGGTTGCCAACCAAGGCTAAAGAATCCAGTCTGTTTTGCTATTCAGTCCATAGTTTGTTTTTCTTTTGGGGGGGGGTAAGTGAATCTAATGAACTCAACTGGAATTTAAACTCGGCCCTTCGAGTTCTCACTCCAGGCCAATATCCATTACACCTCAACGCACATCCAATCTAGTACAGTGCTTAAATCTGTAGAGTCCAGGTACCATAGCGGAAAGTTCATCAGAACAATTATCGTGAAAGCATTTATAGAAAAGGCACAGGGAAGCTACATTATGATGGTGAGAAAGTGAGTGAAGCCAAGATGCCAAGTCAGGACCAATAACATTGCTGATTCTCCTTTGTATTTTATCAAGGATAAAAAGCATAACAGAAACAGCAGACCAGATGTACTTAATAATTTGTTAAATTAATCATCGTCAGTTTGTAATAATTTTAAGTAGTATTCTTTATTTCTCTTAATCTTTCTTTTTTGTTTTTTATTTTTAACTCTCAGCTTGTCATTATTCCAAGTCCATTCAATATGTATCATATGTGGGGAGGAGAAGCCAAACAAATAAAGTGGTGAAAGAAATTAATAACAATGCTTGTTTGAAGAAATTAACACTGCTTCCTGGACAATCACTGAAGTTAAGCTTCTTGGGGAAGGGATGAATCCACCTCTTTTCCCTCCAGCTATGGGTTAATTAATAAGACTTGTATGACTAAAATCATTATCTTGAAGAAAAAAAAAAAATTCTTGCAATCTAAAAATCATATTTTTTGGCTTTAAATAATCTGCAAAGGATTAATAAAAACACCTCAAAGAATCAAATACTGATTAGTTACACAGTATAGAAACTACCGTGGCCACAAAATGAGGGATCATTTCCTATATTCATCATAATGTAGAACTGATCCCCTATTTTATGTCCACATTATAATTTCTTCTTTATCAAATTCTGATTAGGTATGAATCCACTTCTTCTCACCTCCTAACTATGGGTTAATTATTATTGAAATTTAATAAAATAAATAATTTTTTAATCAGTGTTTTGTAAAAGTTGTAACAACTTTAGACTACTATATCTACTACTATGAGGTGTGAAGCAGCTTAAAAAAAAACAATCCCAGAATTAATAATTGCATATAATCTTAGCTTTTTTCTCAAAAAAAAAAAAGAAAAGAAAAAGTAGTTGTGTGTGACTTTTGTGATATTTAAAGCATTTTTTATTTTTATTTGAGGAGGAGCATATAATGGTGGGAAATGTAATCATGGTGCTTCTTGTGAAACCAGTTTATCAATAACTGAGGTCATGAGGAGGTTAGAAATGCCACCATTGTTTTCACTGTGCTTCAAGTGTATAGAAATATTTCTTTATTTTCCCTTCTATTGCAACAAAAATAGAAAAAAAAATTTTTTTCTAATCAAAAACTGGTAAATTTTATTGAATGCTCGACTATTGTGACTTCTATTTATATATGCTTGGCTATTGTACCTTCTGGTCTTACCCAGGTATCATATTGCATTTGATAACTGTTGAGATGTTGTGAGTTTCCCGCGTGTCGGTGTATGAATCAAGACAAACACAGTTGTAGAGGAAAATACTGGTATATTCATAAAAGCAATTAACAATAGAGTGATTAATAGAACGAAGGTTGGTTAAATGCGAAACAATATCCAAAGTCTATAGTCCAACGGTATGTACCGGGTAAGCTTATCTGGACTGCTAACGCTGACTCTCTCTCTGACGCTCTCCCACTCTCTCTCCAGAGCTGACTTATATAAGAGGGACCAGTCCATTACTAGTTAGAAGGTGGGTGCGCCCCAACAATAACTAACCTGGCATTTTGAGCACAGACCTTATTTTTACCAATGCAGATTTCTTGGTCTCATTTCTATATCTGTCATACTCAGTGCCCTTCCAAGGGATTTTCAGGATTTATCATCACCTTCATGATCCCGATCTGTCTCAACATGGAGCTGCTACATATCTACCTCCGATTGAACTCTTGACTTGTCAACCCTTTATCCACTAGGCCACTGGTTCTCAAAGAGGGTGGTACTATCTATCTGGATACAGTGAAAAGGTCAGGGTGGGACAGTTAGGAAAAAAATGGGTGGTAGCACCAGTTATTTATTTTTATTAAAATCTAAGCCACTTACACTTAAGGAACATGCAGCTCTTAGAAAGAATAACCATTAGTTATGTGCATAAAGACATGCTTTTATTATAGTTTGTTTTGTATCTTGCTGAGGTCATCAGCTTGGAAAGTATCCCATGCCAACTTGATTAAACTGGGGTGACTGTTGGTGTAGTGATGTAGTCATATAGTCATAGATTCTCATGTGGCGACATCTAATGTCATCTAAAAAAAGTCAAGATTCATGTGCATTTTCAGTGTTAGATTTTTGATCTGCTGCTGTTGTTAGTAGCAGCATTATTGTTGTTAATAGTAGTAGCAGCATTATTATTAGTAGTAATATCCTGCTTTGGTCACACATTAATTTTTGATTAGGACTAGCCATGGAACTTTCTTCATCGATAGAGTCACTTAATATGCAAAAACGCTTTAAGGATTTGGTCCTGCTTTTTGGTTGAAGTAGTTGTGCTTTTTCTTATTTGGAATCATTATAAGAGCTCATCCCCATTTGACCTTTTGTCAGAATAAGCTGGGAATTGACTGGGGTGTGGGGAATGTTTTAAGCACGATCAGATTATATATATATATATACTAGCAGTAGAGCCCGGCATTGCCCGGGGATGTAACAGTAAGAGATAGATCAAGTATCAACCATCATAAAAACTGAAAAATAAAATTGACAAAGATTATTGTTTAAGGTTGACGGACACGCATGTCTTAATTAGTTTTTTTTTTTTTTATGAATTGGTCAAACCCAAACTCACAAAAACATTGTTTTCAATCGTTATGAGTCTACCGATTGAATAGAATTTTATTATAAACAATTGTCTTGTAAATGGAATTTTTAAAGCATTCTGAATGTAAAAATAAAGAAAAAAGTGTGCAAAACAATAAGAAACACTACCTGCTAAAAAAAGTGAAGTTTTGTTGAAATCGGTTGAAAAATGTAGGAAATCCGATCCCATATATAAATGAACACACATGCACACAAACAACCTGGGTTTTATAATAAGTATAACTTGATATGAGTTGTCCCCCTTTCATTCTGGCGACTTGTGTTTTCAAATTGATTTTGTGCAAAAACAATTGTTTTTCCAATTTTTGGCACTGTCAGAACCACCGCAAGGTAATTTTATGTAGTCCTGTGAAGTTTTGTTGAAATCGGTTGAAAAATGTAGGAAATCTGATCCAATATATAAACGTACAGACACACACACACACACACACACACAACCTGGGTTTTATAATAAGTATGATATGATAATATATATATATATATATATATATATACTGTTTATAATAAGTATTAATTACATTTACCAGCCTGAATGTCCGTGAAATTTCCTAGAAAATGTGTGTCCTCTGATAGGAATTAGAATCTGTTAGGCATGTCTGATTAAATAAATTACAGACATTATGTCTGCTTATTTTCAGCATAATCCATTCCTATTCACATAATCTTACAATCAAATGATACAAGGAATGCGCTAGAAAATTGCTTTTATTTCCCCAAGTACTTTCTATCTCTTTCTGAGATCATCTTCAGGGGTGCAAGTAAGTAAGACAAAACTATGTGTTATTTGTTACTGAAATTTTTTTTCTTTTTGCTTTTAAATGCAACGGTTGACAGTTATGCTTAGCATTCATTAGAATGTGAAATATTATCCACTATACTGCCTAAATACACACATTACATATACACACATATATTCTCTTTTTTTTTTTTTTCCACAGTGTTTGAAATCTTGTTGCGATATACAGAAAGCAAAGATTGGAAGCAGTCTCTGTGTCAAGTAATTCCTGAAAGAAAAGGGATAATTCCTTTGTCTTGTAGACCAGATGAAAATGATTCTAACAATCCTGGTGTTTCTGGAACACCTTCTGCCACAACAAAAGGACAATGTTCAGAGGAACTGGAGAAATTGAACTCAGGTGAAAATTCTTTGTCGGATAGCGAATCCACAAAGAATTTAAAATCGAGCAATGTAGATATTTAAAAACAGATTTAATAAATTGCTTTTTATGTACCTTTTTTTTGTTGTTTATGTAAACATACAATATGACCTTTGGCCAAGCATTCCACTGACTGGTCAATTTTTCACCTCATGTTACATTTCAATTCGAAATCTCATCAGTTTTTGCTGAAAGCTGGAGAAGGGCGTAATCATACTTACACGGTAACAGGATGAAAGAAAAAAAATACTACATCAAGAAAGAAGAACGTGAACCCTCTTTTCCATATTGCATGTGGTTGTTTTATTTAGGGCTTCACCTGCTCATCCAGGTGAATAGGTAGGTGATCCTGGGGTCTACTTCTGATAAGTCATTTCTTCTCCATACTAACTCATCATCCATCTACTCATCCGAATATGGTGGATGGCAATATGAAATGGAGGCTTTGGTGTTTGGACACCTCTATCTCCTGCCAAGGACAGACCAGATCTCTCCTGGATATACCCTATATCCGGTTTTGTTGTCACTTGATCCCTGAAAATACCTTTACTTCCTATTCTCTTTTGGTTAAGGTGGTTGCTGCTTAGAAAACCAAAACTTCAAAATGAATCATCTGCTGGTCTATCAAACAGAACACTTGAGATCGAGATACCACATCCTTCCCCTCTATCACTCTCATTTTATGAACTATTGTTTTTTACATTTATATTAGATCTATTAACCTGTTGTAAATTTTTTTGCCTTGATGTTGTTGGTGTGCACTAAAGGCTGTTGAAGAAAGTGCTTGATGCTCCTAATCACCTGAAGAAGACCGGTACGTACAACAGCCGAAATGTCGTGAATATAGCAACAAAGGTGAGTACAACAGCCCGAACAATATAAATAATGTAAATAATTACAATACCTCATCTCAGAAATATAGACTGATCCTGAAGAAGGCCGGTGCATACAACAGCTGAAACATCGTGAATATGGCAACAAGGATGAGGACAATAGTCTGAACAATGTAAATAAGGTAAATAATTACAATACCATATCTCAGAAATACAGACAGATATTCTCTTGCATTTCTCGCTTGTGGAACCACTGGTGAAGGGCCTACTGCAAGCTCCCAAGGTGACACAATGGAAGACAAATGCCACATCAAGAAATAAGAATGCAAACTCTGTTTCCCATTTTGTATGTAGTTGTTCAGATCTTCGCTTGATCAACCAGAGGAGGTGGGGTAGGTGATACTTGGGACAAATTCTTCTATATCAGCTCTTTCCCCACTACGAACCACTCGCCCATAGAAGTGATGCATGACACATTGGTCCAATGGATTTCCGCTACTTTGCATACCACCATATGTCTCTGGATTGCTTGGTGCTGTCTTTGGTAGTTTTTCATTGCCTCCTGATAGAACTTTTTCTTTTCAACTGAAGAGAGGTTCTCGAAAGCCAGCCATGCTTCTCATTTTTGATGAATCAACTGGTCAGTTTCTTCCTGATGCTCATCGAACCAGTCCCGAGTTTTCCTTTTCTGAAACCCAAGCACTTCTTCAGCTGCTGATGTCATTGCATTGCACAGGGTTGTCCATCTTCTGCTATCTTGTCCAATGAATCATTGATGGACAGAGTTCTATGGTAAGTTGTCACCATTTTATATTTTTAATTTCATGCATGCACGTTATTTGTTTTTAATTTTGTCGACTACAGTATAGTAGGGTCAGTTGGGCACTGTCTGTGAGAAAAAGAGAACCACGACACAATTCACTCCACCAGAAATTTGGAAACGGCATTCTGTACTGTTTGGCATTCATGCCAGAAGCACTTTGTTATTTTTAGCACTGAATTTCTGGGATGATACATATTACACTATTTACATTCAGACTATTGTCCTCATCTTTGCTTCATTTTTTGTTAACCCAAGTACTTTCGACCTCCTCAGAATTGAATTGCGAAGACAAACTTAATGTAATTGTGATCATTTGTCTTTGCAATTCACCTCTGATTTCGGAGGAGATTGAAAATATGGCACCTTTCTTGATGAATTTCATCTTAACATCACGAAGATAATTAGAGAACTAGAAAGGATTATAAAAATAAATACACATATGTCTATATTATTTGATGAAACATGCTTGAATGAAGATATGCTGCCTATATATATATATATATATATATATATATATATATAATTATTTTTTTTAAAAAATATGATTCCTTCACTACATAAGAGTTCTCAAGTTTCAAAAATGAGAGCCAAAACCATCAATATAATTATTAAAATTAAATTGAATTAAAGTAACAAGCCCTGTTTCATTCTCAAGCGAAAATTCAGGAACCTGCAAAGGAATCATATTTTTAAAAAAATATTTATAATCTAAACTCTACTTCTGTATGGAGCACTGTTTTTTAAAAACAAAAATACTAAAGAACCCTGGATTATTTACCAAATGTGTTCTTTCCTATTTTTCTACATACCTACACACACACACACACACACACACACACACACACACACATATATATAAATAAATAATGGCTGAGTGGTTAGATGTTTGCATTCTGACCATGAGACCCAGGTTTGAATCTCACCATGGTCGATTTGTTATTGGACTGGAGAGGTTGATCCCAGTGTGTGGAGTCTTTGGAAAGTGCCTGAAAACCATGTCATGGGTTGACCCAAGCCTTGTGAGTGAAATTTGGTAGATGGAACACTTGAGGGACCATCGATAGCTGTGCTAGCATGAAGTCACAAATCATTGTGGTCGAGGGATTGAGTGTGCTGGCCTTGTTCAAATTGTTGATCATGCTATATAACACTGTAACTAAAGTTTGCTCAGCATAATATACAGTATAATTTAAACCACAGGTGGGCTCTGTAGGTGTTGAACAAACACAAATGTGCCTGAGCAAAAGGTGCCGCATGCTGGGATCAACTTTGATCCAGTCCGATAACGTCAAATCGACGAATGTTGAGATTCAAACCCGGGTCTACATATATACATACACATAAAATTTATTCAGTGCACTAATTTTTTATCAAAGGGAGGTAACTCGTTTTAATACTAATTCTTATTTCATCTTTTTTCTTTTTAATTGACATTGATATCATTTTTTTTTATATTTTACAACTGCTAAGCAATTAATGTGGATCGATAATAAAGAAGTAAGTGATGGGGGTTTTTTTTGGGTTTTTTTTTTAAATCTAAAACAACCTGTGGCTTGCAATAAAATATTCAAAAAACTACAAAAGATTAAAAAAATCTTAAATTGTAGCATTTGAATAATGGATATTTCAATACATTTTCCCTACAATAAAAATGATGAAACATTTCTCCTGAATTAAGTCTAGCAGCCATAGTTTTTTTTTTTTTTCTATTTTAAAATAAATACTTCAAATGCTTGTCAAATATCTAAAATGAATTTAAAAAAAGAAAAAAATTATTGAATTTTAACAAGATACACTACTTTCTCACTTTTCTCCTCCTACTCCTCCTTTTCCTCTTTTCTTCATCTCCTTTATCCTCTCCTGCTCTCTCTCTTCTCCTTTTCCTCCCTTATTCTCTTTCTTCTCCTTTTCCTGTCCTTCGTCTCTCTCTCTCACCCTCTTCTCTCTTTCTTCTTTTCCTCCTCTATTCTCTTCTTCTTTTTCCTGTCCTTTGTCTCTCCCTCAACCTCTTCTCTTTCTTCTCCTCTATTCTCTTCCTCCTCCTTCCCTGTCTTTCTTCTTTCTCTTCCTCATCCTCTTCTTTATCTTATTTTTTTCCTCCTCTCTCTTTCTCTATTCTCTTTCCTCCACTTATTGAAAACATGGAAAACAACTAATGATATTATTTTGACAAATGTTTCTACTTCTTAGATAATATAGAATTTCAATAATTCCATATTTAATTCACTTGCTGAGTGAAGCCAGAAAAAAAACAAAACAAAAACTGCATCTTTCTTTTATGTCTGTCATAAGCATTTCAGTTACAATGGCTTGCAAGCAAGTTAAGCAGACCATTTCACCCTTGACTCAATGTTGGCTTGTTTGGTTCCCTACTTAAATTTATAGACTTTTCAGCATAGATAAAAAAATATATAGACCAGATACAAAAGGTCACTGAAAAGTTTTTGGCACAACCAAAAATGGGTTTAAAAAAAAAAAAATCTGTTTAGTTAGATTGAGAACTTTTTGGCAACACTCTGAATCTGTCTCACAGGGTGTCATGAAAGTGGATTGATTTACAGCCACCATTTGCGGTTAATGAGGGCTTTTTTTTTAATCCCCTGAGTTAAACTATTCTATGTTCAGTTTCCTGTGTCAGTCCGACAGTTATGTGCCATGCATGATACACGCTTAAGTAATTATGTATCTTTCAATACATGACTGACGAGGCAGATCTTTTCCCTCAGTAGGTTGTCATTTCTTTCTACGATAGACCAATTGCCATCCAAGGCTATAGAACCCGGTCTGTCCTGCTATTTACCCATAGCTGGGGAAGAAGAATTCATACCTTTCATACCTTAAGGGTATTAGCACGTAAGTGAATGTAATGGATTTGACTGGAATTCGAACTCGGCTCTCAGATTCCTCAATCCAAGCCGCTATCCATTACTCACCATTCTGAATTTCTCAACTGATCTTAAAAACATTTTTTGTAATGGTGGATTTTTTTGAGGTCCGTGAACAGACATTTGGGGGTAATAATTATTCATCTTAAATGAAGAATAAATGGATATATACTTTTATTAATTTCTGTTCTTTAATTAAAAATATTAATTAATTAATATATTTTTCTGTTTTTTTTTTTTTTTACAGACAAAAATATCTGTTTACATGATTTACATTGTTCGGACTGTTGTCTTCACCTTTGTTAACATATTCATGGTGTTTGGGCCATTGTACGTTCCAGCTTTCTTCAGGTTATTAGAATTTCAAACTCAACCCTTTATTTCTTCCACCAGGGTAGAGTGTTCTAGTTCCACGTGCCATGCCTCTTCAGGGTGTCTCAGTATCAGTTATCTCCCTTTAACTCAAGTCTCCAAGGTTTTGTTCACCTCTCCTGTAGCCAGGTATTGAACTCACAACCTTGAGGACACATTGTCCAGTGGATAAAAGCGTTGGCTGAATCCAGTGACTTGACCTAAAGAGTTATGAGTTCAATACCTGGTTACAGCAGAGGTGAACAAAAACTTGGAGAGTTGGGTTAAAGGAGATAACTGATACTGAGACATCAAGAAAGGGCATGGCATGTGGAAGTAGAACAATCTACCCCAGTAGATGAAATAAAGGGTTCAGTTAAAAATTCCAATCACCTGAAGAAGGCTGAAGTATACACCAACCAAAACGTTGTGAATATGGCAATGAAGATGAGAACAAGAGTCCGAACAATGTAAATAGTGTAAATAATTACAATGCCTCATCTCAGAAATATAGACACATCCTGAAGAAGGCCAGAGCGTATAATGGCCGAAACGTTGTGAATATGGCAATGAAGATGAGCACAACAGTCCAAACAATGTAAATAATTACAATACCACATCTCAGAAATATAGACAGATAAAAATGTCTGTTTCATCTGCAGAACAACTGGGTCTAGATAACTTTGTCAAAAGTCAGGGATTGACTTTCACACTGTTTTGATATTATGAACAGGAACCCTTTTTCCAAAATGATAGAATCAAAAATTTTTTTTTTTTTTGACAGATGTTGCACCTGGAAGGAGGTCTAAATAATGCTAATCTACAAAAATTATTCTTTGAAAATTTTTTTCCTTATTTTTTTCTTCCCTGAGGGGACCAGCATATTTAAGTAGTTTAAAAAAAATATTAATTCAGTAAGTCCCCAATTTACGACAGTCCTAACCTACAATGATTCATGGTTATGAAACAGTCTGCATTTTTTTTTGGGGGCGGGGAGGTGACTTATACTGTTTGCCTCATACAAATGTCGTGGCAGAAGAACACGTTAACTATAAGTTGGTGAATTCCCAATAAAGAAAAATAAACTCATGTTTTTCTGTCTTCACCAGATTTTCTGCTGCTTCCAATCACTGCAAGAGAGGCAAGATCTTACACTTCGTTATCTCATTGTCCAAGAGCCAATGAGATCGCTGTCAATAAAATATACAAGCAGCTTAAAACAATTTAATTATATATTATATACATATATTATATACATGTCCAGCATATGTTTTTTTAGTCCTAATTATGTTAACATATGTCCAGTGTCAGATTTACCTATAAGCTTAACAGCCTGAAGCCTAGAGCCTCAAAATCTAGGGGCCTTCAGCAAAGGTGTATAATATTTTTGACATGGGCCTTTCTTACAAATGTCTTCACCAGATTTTCTGCTGCTTCCATTCACTGCAAGAGAGGCAAGAAGATCTTATGCTTCATCATCTCATTGTTCGAGAGCCAATGACATCACTTTCAATAAAATATACAAGCAGCTTAAAACAATTTAATTTCATTATATATTATATACATATCCACCATGTGTTTTTTTTAGTCCTAATTATGTTAGGCATATGTCCAGTGTCAGATTTACCTATAAGCTTAACAGCCTGAAGCCTAGAGCCTCAAAATCTAGGGGCCTTCAGCAAAGGTATATAATATTTTTGACATAGGCCTTTCTTACAAATGCTGTCATAACGCATTCAGTCAGTACGTGCTGTACGTTTTGGGCGACCATGCATCTTTTGATACATGACTGACAAGGCAATTTTTTCCTGCAGTAGGTTGCCATTTCTTTCTGTGGTAGACTTGTGCATAACAAACCCAACTGGAATTTGAACTCGGCTCTCCAGTCTCTCATTTCAAACTGATATGCATTACACCACAACTCAAATCTTGTAAACTCTAAACAACCCTTCAGTAATTTTCTTTGCATTTCATTTCAGAATAATTCTGGCTTAAGCTGATAATTCCTTACGAGCATTGATTTCTTTATAGATTTTTTTCAATTATAATATTCAGGTATATTTTTCAATCACATACTGTATTTAACAATATCATCTTTTACCTTTACAGGAGGAATTGTCAACTGGAATTTTGGAACATCATCCAAATTGTTTAATTTAACACTCTTCCTCTACTCATGAGAATGGAGGATTTGAAGAGGCCTCAGAAGTGGAATAGACTAGGGCTTCTCTTCATCTAAATCTGGCCCTGCATATATCATAGGAATACATTTCCTGTGGGTTATTTGCCACCACCTTTTAATTTACATATTGGTAATCTTCTATAAAGTTAGATGTGGTATTTAAAATGTTTTTAATTGTTTGTTTTTTTTTTTTCAGACTCCTAAATGAATTCTTAGAGTAGTATATTTTTACATATCTATATTTGTAAAAAAGTCGGAAAAGTAATTTAAAAATGGCGATAGATAACCCACAAATACCGAAAGGAAAGGCGTTGTTATGTCGTTACTTTAATTGTGTTAATTAGCATAGGTGAATGACATGCTTATTCATGGAAAATTGCATAACGATGCATCGTAAAAACAGAAATCTGTCATAAGTCAAGAAACCCCCTGTTATGAAAATGTTTCTCAAACACTGAAATGAAAAGTCCCTCAACAATGTATGTATGAGCTAGTCAACTTATTTATTTACAGTTACACATACATACATTTCTTTTAGTTTACAGACATAGATTTCAATAATAACACACTTTGGACAGATCATATAAATGACATACATACATACACACGTACGCACGCACACGCATACATACATACATACATACACACACACTTTGTTCATGTGTATGCTTAAATTAAAAGGAAAAGATATAAAAATATCTTACAGCAATGCAGGAATAAATTATTCAATGATGCATCAAGGGAGATAATCTATGTTTTTCAAGCAACTATTTTCCTTTTTTTTTTTCTTTCTTTTTTTACTAACATTTGAATCGAATTAATTTAGGTCCTACATCCATTATTAATATTACAAAATAAAAAAATCATATATATATATATATATATATATATATATATATATATATATAGCATAATGAAAGGCCACGGTTTTTAACCACAATCAATATTCCCACACACTTATTCACAATTTAAAAAATGATTACAAGAACCTCCAATTAGACAACAAGATCAAAGACATTTTCGATAAACCACCCATAAATGCAATGAAACAATCACCTAACTTATCAGCTATCCTCACCTCTACCAAATATCTAAACAATAGAAACCAAACAGGAAATTACAAATGTAACAAACCTCGTTGCTTAGTTTGCAAACATTTAATAATAGCTAATACATTTTCCGTACCCAACACCAATATCAGAATACAGCCACCTAACCTCACCTGCGATACCCATAATGTAATCTATTATTTATTCTGCAACTTATGTCCTAATAGTGGATATATTGGTGAGTCTGGAAACAATTTTAGATTTCGTTTTAATAACCATAAACAAACAATACGCCAAAACAACCCTTATTCCCCCATAGCTAAACACTACAATCAATCAGGACACATTAGAAAACTGCAAATGTTTATTAATAGATTCCGATTTTACTTCCACATTCACACGCAGAAAAAAAAAGAAACATATTGGATTTAAAATTAAATACACATAAACTAGGGTTGAATAGGGACTTAGGTGGTTTAAATCTTTATAAATATTTCAATAGTTAAGCAATTTTTTTTAGATATAGTAAAAATTTTTTTTTAAATATTTATGACAGATTTAAGTTAGGAATATCCGAACAGTGACGTTCCATATCACGTGACGTCCGCGTCTCGCGAAGGACGCTACTTGCTAACAAACAGTAATTTTAATTTATTTGTAACAAACAGTTATTTCTGATGAAAAATTGA